GGAAAGATCAATGGAAAAAAAATATCCGTGAAAATCTGAGAAAAGGAAAATGACCGGGTCACTACAATGAATGCATGCAAAACCGAAATCAAATCCGAACATGAAAAGTGAAGTTGTGCCAACAAAGTGACATACAGGAAAAAGACAAAAGGTGATAGTGTCCACAAAATGAAAATGTGGAAATGACTCAGCCCTTAAAAGAAATTGTCAATCCAGACAAAAGAGTCTCGGAAATCATTTCCAAGCACTCGAAATGACACCCAGTGACGAGAAACAGAACTCAAAAAAAGAAAATTAAAAGGAAAAAATTTATCTGTAAAATTTGAGAAAAAGGAAATGAAGGAAAATTTATCTGTAATAATCTGATTATTACAGAGATCCACACCATATCCCCAAATAAGAGATTATAATGAAATGAAATAAGTAAAAGGGAAGGATGTGGCTCAACCTCCCAAGGCACATGATAATACTTGTTATTGGTGTGGAATGACAGGGCATTGGCAAAGCATTTGTTGTACACCTAAGCATCTGGCTGAACTTTACCAAGCCTCAATGAAAGAAAAGGGGAAATGGAAATAAATGAATTTCATTGATCATGATGAGCCAGTTGACATCACAAATCTGGATGTATTAGATTTTTTTTAGGATCGTAATGGAAAAATAGACCATCTGATTGGTGATGGAAATGTCCACACCAATTAATCCTATTTTCATTTCATGTTCTGTCTACTATATTATATTCAACAAGTTTTTATTTTTCTTGTATTAAAGTTTTTATTTTCTAATTTGTACTAAAGTTTCTTTTGTTAAAAATGTTTCTTTTCTAATAAAGAAATTTGCATGAATATGAATAGATCTAACTGGTTCCAAAATAAATGATGAAGACATATGTCTTGCAGATAGTGGAACAATACACACAATCCTTCGAGATCAAAAATATTTTTCTCACCTAATTTTGACAGACGCTAATGTCAGTACAATATCAAGTCCCACCGACTTAATTGAAGGATCTGGATGAGCTAACATCATTTTACCATGTGGAACAAGATTACAAATCGATGATGCCTTATTTTCTACAAGATCTCGGAGAAATCTGTTAAGTTTTAAAGACTTGCGTCATAATGGGTATCATATTGAGACCTCAAATGAAAGAAATGTGGAATATCTCTACATTACTTTCATTACATCATGCAAGAAGCTGATATTAGAAAAACTCCATGTTTTCTCTTCTGTTTTATACTATACAACCATTAGGACAATTGAGTCAAATGTTGTGATACATAAAAAAATTTGTGACCCAAAACTTTTTATGCTTTGGCATGATCGATTTGGTCACCCGGGGAGTACAACGATGCGTCAAATTATTGAAAATTCACATAGACACCCACTAAAGGATCAAAAAATTATCTTATCAAATAATCATCTATGCACCGCCTGCTCACAAGGTAAGTTGATTATTAGACCATCCCTTTCAAAAGTCATTGTTGAATCTCCCCCATTTGTACAAAGAATTCATGGGGACATATGTGGGCCAATTCATCCACCTTGTGGACCATTTCACTATTTTATGGTCTTAATTGATGCATCAACATGATAGTCACATGTTTGTCTACTTTCTACTCGTAATGTTACATTTGCTAGACTTTTTGCTCAAATCATCAAATTACGGGCACACTTTCTTGATTACCCTATTAACACAATCCGTCTTGATAATGCCGCTGAATTTTCTGCTCAAGCTTTTGATGACTATTGCATGTCAGTTGGAATTAATGTTGAACATCCTGTTGCACACACTTATACTCAAAATGGTATGGCCGAATAATTTATTAAAAGACTTCAGTTAATTAGTCGTCCTTTGCTTATGCAAACAAAATTATCTGTTTCTGCCTAGGGACATGCCATATTACATGCTGCATCATTAGTTCATATATTGACCAACTGCTTATTATAAGTACTCACCATTGCAATTTGTTTTTGGTCAACAACCAAATATCTCTCACATACAAGTTTTTGGTTGTGCTGTATATGTTCCAATTGCACCATCTCAACGTACTAAAATGGGTCCTCAACGTAGACTTGGAATTTATGTTGGTTTTGATTCTCCATCTATTATTATATATCTTGAACCCCTAACAGGTGATGTTTTTAAAGCACGATTTACTGACTGTCATTTTGATGAGGCTATTTTCCTACCATTAGGGGGAGAAAAGGCACAGCAGCAACATGATATTACTTGGAATGCCCTGGAATTGTCTCATTTTGATCTTCGCACAAATCAATGTGAACGAGAAGTTCAGAGGATCATTTACTTGCAAAATGTTGCAAATCAATTACCTGATGCATTTACTGATACAAATAAAGTAATAAAATCACATATACCAGCTGCAAATATTCCAGCACGAATTGCTGTCCCTAAGGGACCTTCTGTCAGTAATGCAGCAAATGCGTCTAAAACAAGCCTGAAGCGTGGCAAACCAGTCGGCGCAAAAGATACTGCTCCTCGTAAGAGGAAATCACAAAGAAAAATACGCACTCCTGAAGAGGCCACAAAAAGAGTAACAGATATTATTGATCAATCTGAGATAATAGCCTTTGATAAGGCAGAGACTCTTGATGAGGCATAGGTACCTAAAAATAATGAAATAATAAATATTGATGAGGCAAAGGCAACAGATGATGATATGGCCCTTGATGAGGCACATGCCCTTGATGAGGCAAAGGTACTTGAAAATGATGAGATCTCACTAAATTATGGAACGAGATGGAATAGAAATGAAATTGTTCTCGATAACATATTCTCATATGTCGTTGCTCTTGATATTGATAATGAGAATCCGAACCTCAAAACATCGAAGAATGTTGACGAATAAATGATTAGCCAAAATGGAAAGAATCGATACAATTAGAATTAAATTCATTAGTTAAACGTGAAGTATTTGGACCTGTAGTCCAAACACCTGATGGTGTTAATCCTGTTGGGTACAAATGGGTATTTGTATGAAAGCGTAATGAGAAAAATAAAATCATGAGATACAAAGCCCGACTAGTAGCTCAAGGTTTCTCATAGAGACCTAGTATTAATTATGAGGAAACATACTCTCCTGTGATCGATGCACCCACATTTAGATTCATAATACATTTGGCAGTCACAGAAAGATTGCATATGCATCTAATGGACGTGGTTACAACATATTTATATGGATCACTAGATAGTGATATTTATATGAAAATCCCAGAAGGATTTAAAATGTATGAAACAAAACCACGTAGTATATATTCGATAAAATTACAACGATCCTTATATGGATTGAAGTAATTTGGACGAATGTACAATCGTCTTACCGATTACTTACTCAAAGAAGGGTATGTGAACAATCATATTTGTCCATACATTTTTATTAACAAATCAGAATTTGGTTTTGTTATTGTTGCAGTATATGTTGATGATCTGAATCTTGTGGGAACATTGGACGAGATTGAAAACACTGCCACTTATTTAAAAAAAGAATTTGAAATGATAGATTTCGGAAAGACAAAATTCTACCTTGGGCTGCAGGTTGAACATTTTTCGAACAGTATTTTCATCCATCAATTAACATATACAAAAAAGATTTTGAAACATTTTTATATGGATAAAGCCCATCCATTGAGCTCTCCAATGGTTGTCTGATCACTTGACATCAAGAAAGATCATTTTCGTCCTCGAAAGGATGATGAAGAACTCTTTGGTCCTGAAGTGCCCTATCTCAGTGCGATTGGTGCTTTTTTGTATCTTGCAAATTGCACAAGACTTGACATAATTTTTCCAATCAATTTATTAGTAAGGTACAGTTCTGCACGAACCCGCAGACATTGGAATGGAATCAGACACATATTACGATATCTTCGTGGTACAATTGATATGGGATTGTTTTATTCAAAAACACCAAATTCTCAATTAATTGGATATGCAGATGCCGGCTATCTCTCTGACCCACATAAAACTTATTCATAAACAGGATATGTGTTTACCTATGGCGGCACTGATATATCATGGCGATCTATAAAACAAACAATGATTGCAACTTCTTCAAATCATTCTGAGATACTCGCAATTCATGAGGCAAGTAGGGAATGCATTTGGTTGAGATCAATGATCCAACATATTCGAACAACATGTGGTCTCTCATCAATAAAAGATAGCCCAACAATATTATATGAAGATAATGCGGCATGTATTGCATAGATGAAAGAAGGGTATATTAAAACTGACAGGACCAAACACATCTCAACAAAATTATTTTATGCATATGAACACCAGAAAAAGGGTGATATTGATATTCAGAAGATACGTTCATGTGAAAATTTAGTAGTTCTATTCACTAAAATGCTTCCAACTACAACATTCAAGAAGCTGGTGCACAACATTGGAATGCGTCAACTAAATGATCTTTAGGGTTGAACTAATGCAACAATGAGGGGGAGTAATTGATCGAAAATGTATTGGTATACTGTACTCTTTTTCCTTCGTCTAGGTTTTATCCTACTGGGTTTTCTTGACAAAGTTTTAATAAGACAGTTTTAACTTATGCAATACCATTTTTTAATACACAAGAATATTGTACTCTTTTTCCTTCGTTAGGGTTTTGTCCCACTAAATTTTTCTTAGTAAGATTTTAACGAGGTATATTTTTAGTGTAAGATAATGGACCATAAGGAAAAGTGTTGTATATGGAGTCCATAATTGATGATGTCATCAACGAAGACATCTTTGGTTGGCGTACTGAAGAAGATTACATTATGTGGCTTGTTTTGGAAGCCTTACAATTATAAGATTTATGTGGCTTTTCATTTCTCCCACCTAATATTACTCTATAAATATATATACATATATTTATAAGATTTCTTTGAAAATAAAAAACATTTTCTTACAATTTCTTTTTTTGAAAATAAAAATATCACTCTTAAAAGTATCTCAAACTCAAAACTGAGGAGTTAACATATTGTATTTCTGATATTTAAACAGCGAACATTCCAAAGCCTCCCGGGTGCTGCCAAGATCTCCTTATCATCTGTTACCCTCCTCCGGCTTTCTCTTCCCTACGCACCCCTAAACCTTATCATCTATTACCCTTCTATGCGCACCCTATCCTTACCACAAGACTCAATCCAAAACAGGAGGCTTGCAACAACCTGAACCAAAACCAAAACCAAAACCCTAATACACACCCTCCGACTTCTTCAATTTTCGTTCCTTTTCAGCACAGAACGGGGAATCGCATTCATGGAGTCCAAGGAAGCGCCGTCGTTTCTTCTCTCAAACCCATCGTCAGGTTCTTCTTCTATCAAAAACCCTTCTTCTTTTGATTATGAAATGGATACTGTTGTCAAAACAAATGGTTTGAAAACTCATGCTAAAATTAGAAGCAGTAGTAGTAGCAGTAGCGGTAGTAGTTCTGATGATGATGATGGGGGTTTTGTGAGTGGTGAAGAGGAGGTGTTCGAAACGGCGCCCGATAGGCTAATTCTGGACGACCCAGATGAAGAAACCCTAAAAAATGGCGCTGTAGGTGAGAATACCGGCGACCCTTTTGTGGGTTCTTTGGATTTTGCGATGCCAAATGCTGCAATGCCAACACCGATGGTGTCGGCCGATGATGATGCTGAAAAAGGTCCTAAAGTTGGGGTTTTGGGGGTTGAAGAGGTTGAGGAAGATAGGGTTGTGTTGGTGGAGGAAGGGAAGTTTGGTGTTGTTGATGGATTGGGGTCTAGTTCCATTGTTAGGGATGGTGTTACTGATCCTATTCTGTTTGATGCCACAGATTCTAAGGCAACTGGAGTTGAGGGCTTTGTGGAGAAGCCTAAAATTCTGCAAGAAGCCATTTTTGGTGAGAAGTCGAATTTGAATGAGTTATTGGAGAAAAGTTGGGTTGAGGTTTTAGTGGGTAGTAATGGAGATAAGGTGGCTGAAAATCCAAAATCGGATGAGGCCGTGATTTCAGAGGATGAAGGGAGTTTGGTGGCAGAGGAAGTGGGGGTGGAGGGAGGGAAGTTGAAGGGCGAGGAGGCTGTGGAGGATATGAAGCTCAAGGCGTTGGATGGTGAGGATTCTGTTTCTGCAGTGGATGCTAAAGAGAGTGCCGAGGTGGTTGAAAAGTCTGCAGTTCAAAGCGGTGACAAGAATCAAGTGTATTCGGAGATTGTGGAACCAACAGACTCTACGTTGGTTAAACCAGATGATGAGAAATTTACCACCGAAGGAGACTCTATTGTGGAAAATATACATGTGAATTTGTTGGAGCAGGGAGTGGCTGTTGTTGGGGAGATGGAAGAAAACAAGGACTCAGAAACAGAAGGGGTGGTGGTCCCAGTCAATGTGAGTGTGAAATTAATGAATGGGTCTGATCAGCGTAGCGATCTTGTTGAAGAAGCTGTTGGAGTTGACTCAGATTTTGACAAAAATATTGGACCTCTTACCAATCACAATGTTGAAACTACAGAATCAGAGGTTGTAGCACTTAAAAGTGATAGTGCTTATAAAGATGAAAATTTGGACGTGGGAGCTGCTCTTACTAACCAGGGAATTGGTGAAGGAAATGAAACTCAGGATTTTGTGAAAAATAATCAGATTCCAGAAATAGAAATTGAGCCAGTAGCTGTTCCTGAGGTCAAAATGAATGAATCCACATTCAAGATTGCTGCTGATGAAGTAGGACATGTGTCCAGTGAAGAAGCACTTGACACGGATGGAGATGGAGTGAAGGCAGTGGACTCTAATTCAGCACACGAGGCAAAACATGTTCACAGTGATCGTTCCTATTTAAATGCTCTGGTTGATGGATTAGAAGATGGGGTCTCCGGCAAGTCTCAGTCACCTAGATCTGCTGAAACAAGTTTGACACTCGAACCACAAGTGGTACAAGAAGCTGAAGCAAAAGATCATACAGATGAAGAAGTTGAACTTGAAGGCTCACTTTCAGATGGAGATACTGATGGTATGATCTTTGGAAGCTCTGAAGCTGCCAAACAGTTTATTGAGGAGTTGGAACGAGGATCGGGTGCTGGCTCTCAGTCTGGTGCAGAGAATTTCCTTGATCATTCACAGAGAATTGATGGTCAGATTGTCACAGACTCGGATGAAGAGGTGGACACTGACGAAGAAGGAGGTGGGAAAGAGTTGTTTGATTCTGCTGCATTGGCTGCTCTCTTAAAAGCTGCAACAGGTGCTGGTTCAGATAGCGGCAATATCACAATAACATCTCAAGATGGATCTAGGCTTTTCTCAGTTGAGCGTCCTGCCGGCTTGGGATCCTCACTTCAGGCTTTGAGACCTGCTCCAAGACCCAACCGGGGTTCAAACCTTTTTTCTCCATCCAGTCTCACAATGGGGGGAGAAGCGGACCACAACTTGAGTGAAGAAGAGAAGAAGAAGCTGGAGCAGTTACAGCTGATACGGGTGAAATTCTTGAGACTTGTCCAGAGATTAGGTCGTTCTCCAGAGGAATCCATAGCAGCACAGGTTCTGTACAGGTTGGCACTTGTTGCAGGGAGGCAAACCAATCAGCTATTTAGCCTTGATGCTGCCAAGAGGACTGCTATGCAGTTTGAAGCGGAGGGGAAAGATGATTTGAACTTCTCTGTGAATATATTGGTTCTAGGTAAATCTGGAGTTGGCAAGAGTGCGACCATAAATTCTATTTTCAGTGAAGAGAAGGCTCTAATTCATGCATTTGAACCTGCCACTACTACTGTGAAGGAGATTAGTGGAATGGTTGATGGAGTTAAAATTAGGGTCTTTGATACACCTGGTCTCAAGTCTTCTATACTAGAACAGGCTTTCAATCGCAAAGTCTTGTCTTCCATAAACAAGTTCACTAAGAAAAATCCCCCAGATATTGTACTTTATGTGGATCGGCTGGATACCCAGACCAGAGATCTTAATGATCTTCCACTACTTAGGACAATCACCAGTTGTCTTGGCCCATCTATCTGGCGGAGTTCCATAGTCACTCTTACTCATGCTGCGTCTGCACCTCCGGATGGACCATCAGGTTCCCCTTTGAGTTATGAAGTGTTTGTTTCGCAACGATCCCATGTTGTTCAGCAATCTATTGGGCAAGCTGTTGGTGATCTCCGTATGATGAGTCCGAGTTTGATGAATCCGGTTTCTCTTGTTGAGAACCATCCTTCATGCCGTAAAAACAGAGATGGCCAAAAGGTGCTCCCTAATGGTCAAAGTTGGAGACCACAATTACTGCTGTTATGCTACTCTATGAAGATGTTGTCAGAAGCAAGTTCTCTCTCAAAACCTCAAGACCCGTTTGACCACCGGAAGCTCTTTGGTTTCCGTGTTCGCTCACCACCTCTTGCATACATGTTGTCTTCAATGTTGCAGTCTCGTGCACACCCAAAACTCTCCACTGATCAGAGTGTGGAGAATGGTGATTCTGATATTGATTTGGCAGACCTGTCAGACAGTGACCAAGACGACGATGACGACGAGTATGACCAACTCCCACCATTCAAACCTCTTAGAAAATCTCAAATTGCTAAGCTTAGCAAAGAGCAGAGAAAGGCATACTTTGAGGAGTATGATTATCGGGTGAAGCTCCTTCGTAAGAAGCAGTGGCAAGAGGAGTGTAAAAGAATGAGAGAGATGAAGAAGAAAGGCAAGGATGGTGCAAATGATTATGGTTACATGGGGGAAGATGCTGATCAAGAAAATTTCAATCCAGCTCCTGTGCCGGTTCCATTACCTGACATGGCACTGCCACCTACCTTTGATGGTGATAATCCATCATACAGGTACCGGTTCTTGGAGCCAACTTCACAGTTTCTCGCTAGGCCAGTCTTGGACACCCATGGTTGGGACCATGATTGTGGGTATGATGGCGTCAACCTTGAACAGAGTCTAGCCATTGCCAGTCAGTTTCCGGCAGCGGTTTCTATTCAAATGACGAAGGATAAGAAAGAGTTTACCATCCATTTGGATTCTTCGGTTGCTGCCAAGCATGGGGAGAATGGATCGAGCATGGTGGGCTTTGACATTCAAAATATTGGAAAGCAACTTGCTTACATTGTCAGAGGTGAAACCAAATTAAAGAATCTGAAGAAGAACAAGACGGCTGCGGGCATATCTGTTACCTTCTTAGGTGAAAATGTGGCCACTGGATTGAAGATTGAGGATCAGTTAACTTTGGGGAAGCAGTGGGTTATGATGGGTAGTGCTGGAACTGTCCGATGTCAGGGTGATGCAGCATATGGGGCCAATTTGGAACTGCAGCACCGAGAATTGGATTACCCAATTGGTCCAGTCCAATCAACATACAGCATGAATCTAATAAAGTGGAGAGGAGACTGGGCTATGGGATTCAACACACTTGCTCAATTCTCCACTGGACGTAATTCGAAGGTAGCTGTTCGGGCAGGAATCAACAACAAGCTCAATGGTCAGATCACTGTGAGAACAAGCAACTCGGAGAATCTTTCACTGGCACTTGCGGGTATTATTCCAATTGTCACTGCAATTTACAAGAAATTCTGGCCTTCTGTTGGGGAAAATTACTCGATCTACTAGATCCTGTTTGTTTCACATTGCAGTCTTTAGTTTATGTTGGAATGGCATCAAAAAGTAGATTACTGCTCAAGCATAAATTAGCTCTTATCATTGTATTGAATGATGCTCGTGTTTTTTCAGTTTAGAACTTTTTCTGCTGTTACTTGGTTCTTGTTATTTTGGCATGACGTACTTTGTCTTGATAATGAGATGTCATTAAGAGGAAATAGAGTACTATCATTGTTTTTGTAGCTCGAGTTTACTAAATAAACTATGTATTCATGCCAGTTTGTCTATTCATTGGAAGCATCAATCTGTTGTATTGAATTGTGTCGCTTGTTTATATGCATAATTTTTATTTTTGTGACTTTCTGTGCGTTTTTGTGAGGCTCAAAACAGACTATGAACATGGAAAGAAAATGCCATCTTGAATGACAGTTGAATTGTTGTAGCTTGATTTTAATTAAATTTTTATTTTTTTTTTATTTTTTTATAACTCAACAAGGTATTTTTCGGCTACATGAATCCTATTTTTTCTTATAAGCAGCAGCAACCTATGTTAAATCACATGTTCTCGTATGCTTTCTTGTAAACTCTACCCAAGTTAACTTTAGTCTATCTCTTTTCATAACATTACCCTCAATGTGAACCATTTCACTCTTCTGGATCACTTAGTGATCTTATTTGCTACTCTGAAAACCTTAGAAATGTTTTTGTTCCTTATTTTATCATCTCTAGTCTTCCTGCACATTCATCTTGGCATTTGAATATCCACCACTCATTCATATGTTGTTTCTTAGTTGTTCTATGTTGTTTCTTAGTTGCCCATAAAGAACAACCAGTGTAATAGTTGTTTTATTGAACTTTCATTTCCCGACTGGGGGATCTAATATATTGAGAGTTTAGGGGCTCCATTTGACCCATGTGTAATTTTTGCGGGCTGCGTTTCCAATTTCTCCTTTATTATGAATAATTGTGCATAAAAATCGAAAACTTTCATTTATTTTGTTTTCACCTCATGACTCTCACAATCTACGGTATATCTCTCTATTTATAATTATAGTTTTACTAAAGTCATATTTTCTATGTTCAGTTTATTTTTATCTCTCATAAACCTTTTAATTCTAGAATTTCTCTTCAAACCTCCAATTTAACACTTACTATTTCTCTAGTTTCATCAATTAAAAGTACATCATATATGATTTATAACATGTCATTTGGATATTTTCTAATTAGTGGATTGGTATTAGTAGATTAGACAGTTAAATCTACATAAAGAGAATGTAGATATATGTTACCTCTTTGTCACCTGATTTTTTACTTATAAGTTCCTCATCATTTCACCAAAGTTGATCACAAGTTTCCCAAGGTACTCAGTTTCCCAAATCTCGAAGACTGGGATTCACATAATCAATAATACTAGCAAGGGGTTGTGGATGCCTTGAATGTGTTGATGTAAATATATACAGATTGCTAGAAATTCTTTCTAATCTGGTTTGATCAACCATCGCTTAAGAATTGATAATTCAATATTCCAATCTTCTACCAACGTGGGTTGGTTCAAGTGGATAATTGTTATAAGGGATACTTGTCTCATATCGGAATGTGAAGTGAAATGAGTATAAATAGGTAGGTCTGCAGTGTTATTCGATAGTGTTACAAAAGGTACTTGTCTCATATCGAATTTGAATGAAAAGTGAAATAGGTGGATATGCAGTACTATCTAATAACTTAAATTTTTTTGATAAATGAGCAAGCACTCTTTTGTTATAATTAGTATCAAAGTCAAACTCATTCCTTGATTCTGTGTCGCTACAACTCAAATAGCTTAAATTTTTCAGTAAATGGGCGTCCACCGGAATTTTTCCTCTTTGGTGCTTGGTTTATGTGGCGACCCTTGATCAGTAATGCGTGGATCCACTTTGTAAAACAACTTAATAAAATTAGAATGATGAGTCCTTTCTGAGGTAATTTAGTAAAACAACTTACTAAAATTAGATTGGCAAGTCATTTACGAGCTTTTGGCGTAAAAACTTTTCCTAATTTAATACCGTAATGTTTTACTAATTTTGAATTATAATCAAATACTAAAAATTAAAAAAAGTATTAATTTTGAGTTATAATCAAACACTAAAATATATGTGTGTGTGTGTGTATATATATATATTTCCAGAAAATATTTTGGGTCAAAAGACGGGCTAAAGAATATCCTGACTCGGAAGGCTTCAACCGTGACTTTTGAAACTGCACCTTCCCATTGAACCTTAAGAATGGTTTGGTTAGGACTTTGGCCTGTTTGCACATCTCTTTTAGTTTGGGAAAATCCAAAAAAATCTCTGTTAGTTTGGGGTGCAATTTGGGCGGATCAACCCTGCCTAACTCGAACCCAGTCCGAAAGTTTTGGGAATTGGATTTTTAAATTCACAAATCGGGTTCAAATCAAGTTGGGTTTTCTCAAAACCCAGCCATGTTCGGGTTGGTCTCAGGTTCGACCCCGAACCCAACCCGAAACCCAAAAGTTTTTTACAAAATATATTTTTCCATATATATATATATATATATATATTTATGTATATATTTGCACTTTCGAGTTCATGGAAACCAGAAATTAAAAAAAAAAAAAAAAAAGTTTCAAATCCTTTTGTTTTTTGCACCTTCCAGAATCTAGATCATGGAAACCCGAAATAAAAAAATAAATCCAAATCTCGTTTTTTTGGGGGCACAAGATCTTGGACACCCAAAATAAAAAAATAAAAAAAATTCCAAATCTTTTTTTTTTATTTTTGCACCTTCAAGTTCATGGAAATCCGAAATATATCAATAAAAAATTCAATTTTTTATTTTTTATTTTTTTATTTTTATTTTTTATTTTTTTTTTCCCACCTTCCAAGTCAAATGATATTATCAAATGGTTAGTATTAAATGAGAAGTGTGCATCATTTTTTAAAAAACCTAGACTCCATAGTTGCTCTCGCTATAGTAAATTCAGGATCCTAAAGAAAAAGGAGTTGGTCTTTGATATATATATATATATTTGTTGACGCTAAAATCGGCGGGCTAAAGCCAATTCTAATTTTGATGTAATGCGGGCGTGCCAGAACCAACAATGTAGTTCGAGTGTATGTAGTCAACGATTGTCTCTTGAGATATTGACTTTAAAGCGATTTATAAGAGAAAGAGAACGTAAAACTCTTTCGTGGATTCAAGATTGCTTTAGTTAAAAGGACTCTAAAAAGTGAATAAAATAGGAACGTTTGTGATAATAGAAAGTAGGAGTGGTAATTTGGGTTCACGTATCATAATCGTGTCGTGTTAACCTAGGGGTATAATATTAAATATGTCAACCCAAACACGACACGATTAATAATCGTGTGACATATCCTAAACCCGAACATGACATGTTTGTTAAACGGGTGACACGACACGACATGTGTAACCCGTTTAATGAATGGGTCGTGTTAGACACACCAAACACGACTTTGTTAAAGACCTGTTTAACACGTTTACCCGTTTAACCTGTTTAACAATTTAACCTGTTTAATGTGGCCAAAGATTAAAATAATAGCAAATAAGTAAAAACAAATAAAAACAAAAGAGATTAATAGAAATGTCTAAGTTAAAACAAAAGACATTACTCTAGTCCAAAAGAGATTAAAAACAAAAGATAAGTCATAAGCTGATAAAGTTATTAATTATTGCAGAACCAAATAAAATCGTTTAATAGAAATGTCATAAACTGAATCTTGAGGCAACGAGTCCCTGGATTTTAATTTTTGGTCATGCTAACACTGGTGGAACATTGGCCTTTAGCAGGATCATCATTGTTGATATTTAGTTTCATCACATCATCAATCAAGTCATCCATTTGAAGCTTCATTGTATCTATAAAAAATCATACACAAAAAATTTATTAGTTCACTATTTTCTCCAATAACAATATAATTTGAAATTTATTAATAGTCATTTACCTTTCAAACCAAAAAGCTAGTCCCTCGTGTATACCAAAGCCTCCACATTTTCTGGTTTAAGTGCACTACAATATTGATCAAGAACTCGACCACCAACACTAAATGCAGACTCATAAACAACTATAGTGATTGGAATGCTCAATATATCACGAACCATTTGAGCAAGCACATGATACCTAAACTGATTGGCTTTCCAATAGGAAAGCACATCGACGTTCACATTCCAATTGATTTTTGGGTATTTCCAAGCAATTTATCACTCTCAAATGAATCAAATTCCTATATGACAGTAATTAAGAAAAATAATTAAACAAATAGAACAATCAATGGCAAAATCAATTAATAGATGTAATGAATAAAATAAGCATTAAAGGAATTTAATTTTTCACAAAAGTATTATTCACCTTCATAACATCAATGAACTTTTTAGTTAATTGTACCTCATCAACTTGCCTGTGCTGACTTCCATCATCTGGGGAAGATGTAGATTTGGTGGTGAAAGCCATAGGAGAATTCAACAAATATTGATCAAAAAGGTAAAACAGTGCATTACGAACTAGTGTGCTCTCAATGTTGTTATCACCATTAAGCTTGTTATAGCTAAAAATAACAAACCTAAGCTTGTATCTAGGATTTAAAATCACAGCAATAACATAGGATCATGCTATAATTAGACCAATGCTTTGCAAACTTTGAATACATTTGAGTTGTCAATCATAAACTTATCATTACTATCCATTTCCTCTTGCATTGTCAATTGAACCGAAAACACAGATGGAAAATACAAGTTTGATGTGGGATACTTGGATCAAGAAAAGATGTTTGTAACATCATAAAAAATAGTTAAGAACTTGTAAATCTTTTTTATCGTACCCCATTCCTCTTGAGATGGGCAAAACTTGTAATTTGAATCACTTAACTGCAAATGACAAAAAACTCGACGATAATAAATGGCAGACTCAAGCATAAGATATGTTGCATTCCATTTTGTAGGAACATCTTACCTTAACCCTCTTTTACATTCTAAGGAAACATGAGAGACACAATCAAAGAATTTTTGATTCCTCATTTGAGAACCTTTGACATACTTAACACTCTCATGAATCTTTATGATAGATTCATCAACCTCTTTTAACCCCTCTTGCACTATCAAATTTAAGATATGTGTACAACAACGAATGTGAAAAAACTCCCCACCATTTAATAAAGCATCATTCAAATTGAGTTGAGACTTCAGCAATTCAATAAATGAACAGTTTGAAGAAGCATTGTCTAGAGTAATTGAAAATAGTTTTTTTTCAATCCCCCATTCAGCTAGCAATGTATAAATCTTTTATGTCAAAACAACACCATTGTGTGGAGATGGCATGTAAAAGAAGTTCAAAATCCGTTTTTGTAA